ATAATTTTATATCAACTTTCTTTCATTGCATTGTTAAAAAATGGATATTCCAAAATTGAAGGAAAATCGAGTTGAATAAATTTCAAAATTCGTTCATTAATAAATATATAATTCAAGAAGGGATTGTTGGATTATACAACTATCTGTTTTAATATGAATTAAATATTTTCAATTTTCAACCTTATTAAGAACTATAATTGAGTAGTATTTCCTACCAACAAAAAGTTGTTGAAAAAACTTATTAATGTAACTTGATAAAGTAAAAAAACCGAGATAGAACTACTTTTTTAATCAACAAGATTTCAAAAATGGGAACGAAAATGTGCAATGAAACATCCAGATTTCTTTGCATATTTTGAGAATCAAAGTTACAACCACCTTTTGAATTTTGTTTCACGGAGATTTTACATGGCCCCAAGTTAATCACTAATGACTTTCTGAATTATGGTTTTTTTTTTATAAGGATGAAAATAATTTTATTTCATTTTTACAGCAAGTACAATTTTTTGTATGTGAATTAGTTATTTGATTCTATTCAAATTCTTATGTTGTAAATCGTGATTTTTTCCATTCAGTACAATGAACTTATTTTTTTTTTTTTCATATTTACTAATCATGGCATGATCAGTCAAAAAATTTACTAGTTTATCCCAGCATCTAAGTAGCATAATGTCCAAACAATATGATAGAATCAGGACATATTAATAGAGAATAAATATTATTTTTCGCAAGAAAATGATCATGATATGGTTAAAACAGGTAATATTAAAATATGGAATCGCAATTTTGTGATACAGTCAAAGCTCGTTAAAATCCATGGATATAATAAGAATAGGAAATGTATAACTTTATAGATTTTTTCTATAAAAAGAAAAGATTTATTGTAATTATGAAAAATTCCCCAATTATTGTTAGCTAAAAGCTATTTGCAAATTCTACGTTTTTCAAGAAAGATAAATTGATTTTTGTTCATTTTTTGTCAATTGAAATCTTATTGTCATCTGTATTTCTACGCTTAATCCGAAAACGAATTAATTCATTTAAAAAAAAATGATACATAATAGTAATATTTTAATGGTTACACGAGATATAAATTTGAAAGAGTGAGATTTTTTATATGATGACACATAATAAAAGTAAGAGAGATATGATTTTATCGATTATCGAGACTTTATTATGATTATCGAATAGAATATTAATATAACTGGCATTGGTTCCTGAAAAAATTTATGAGTTTAGGCGATTATGAATATTATTATCGAATATGAATCTAACTGTAAATGGAAGGGATCGATATACCATGCATTTAATAGTAAAATACGGGATAACAATAACAATAACAATAAAATAATAATGATAATAAAGAAAATAGCCAGAATCCCGAAATCGTTTTTTAATTGTAAAAATTTAAAATGACAAAATGTCCCACTTTGATTGTTAGTCTTTGTTTCAGTGGATGAAATGAAGCCAAATTCACATTATGGGCTAAATGCAAGAGAATGGAGAGTGAAAGTGAGATATAACTAAATCGATGTATTACCTGTTGAAGTCTTTGAAGCATTGTAATTTAGTAAATTATCATTTGTTTGCTTCAGTGTTATCAACCCATTATTAATATATTTAAAAAATATACTGTAATAGTTTATGATGAACAGACATAGGAATTGATCATTATTTAAAGAAATCATCAAGTAAATATTATTTTTATATATTATAATAAATTATTGATTTTAATAAAGTTTTGACAAACAAACAAAAAAAAATTATATATTTATTAATAGATAAAAGGTGCTGATTGGTTATTCATTTTCATGCAGCTTTCAATCTAATTGGCTCTTCTGACAAATTTTTACAAGAAAAGACAAATAGATCAATCTTATCTTTTAGTATCAGATATTTCGTACGTCCTGGCAGGTTGTAAATACGCCGTATTGGAAGCAGTCACATATATTTATTAGATATTATTATTGTCTCAATAATCAATAATTTCATTGAAATTTTTGATAAAAGTATTTTCTTAATAAAGCAATGAATGATTTGTTTTGGTTCAGGTTTATTTAGCTTAGTCGGCTAGCTTTCTTGAAGCTGAATAACTTCCTCATGATCAATTAATTGTTCAAACTTTATTTTTTGCTGTTATTTTCCTTATGCATATTTAAATATTTTATTTGCTTTTTCAGACTAGCAATCGAATAATTTTGTTATTTATCTCCAAATCTTCGATTTTCTTATCTTTTTCGGTTCTTTATATATGTCACACCAGGAAACGACATCCTGCCGAATTTATAGTAATAGAGATGGGACAGTGTAAAACTGGACGGGCGCGCGTAACATTATGTGAATTCCTGGGGATTGTTTCTAAATCTATACGACGAAATTTACACACTGGACGGGGAGCGCTTCCCCACGTTAATGTTTATTATTATAAATTATAAAAAAATTTATTGTTTTCTTATTATTTTATTTTTTGAAAACAAAATTTTATCCCTTGATTCTTATCCGATAACAATATACCGCTTAAAATGGCGATGGTTCTTGTAATCTTTGGTTCCCTATTTAATTAAATTCTCACGATTTTTTTCCCGCCACCAGAAACCACAACAATTTGGAATTAATTCATTATTGCTAAAAAACTTTTTTTTTCAAATATTTGTTTTCCGCTGCTAATAAAGCGTAATAATTTGAAAACATTTACACACGCTAATTCGGAATTATTTGAAAAAAAAAGCATAGTACAACAAATAACAATAACAATAATGACGTCCGTTTTTCCGGCAGTTTCCGTTATCAAAACAGTCTCTGGCACCTCTGATCGCTACATATAGATATTATGCCGACAAATTTGTCGACTAACTATCGCTACAATCTGTCGACAGCCGGAATATGTTCCAAAATACAATTATGTTGGTTGCTGGCAAATTCGTCCTGGAAATTCTCAAATTGGCGTGAGTATACGTCAATTAATCAGTCACTTCTTCCTTTTTTTAAAAAAAAATTATCGAAATGACATGTCAGAAGATTTATGTGGCGATGATCAGGGCCCCCTCCCAGGATTAGGTAAATGTACACCCTTCGACTTTTGCTGTTTAAAGGTGGATGAAAGTGCCCTTGTTGAATGCAAGAAATTGAGATATCCAAGTTAAAGGATTTAATGGAATCAGCTAAGCGTCTATTAATTTCTCACTGTATAGGAGATCAAACAAATGATTAGTGATAAAAAGAAATAAAATAAATAAAAATTTTTTTGAATTGATCGGCAAGGTGTCACTTGATTTTTTTTTTTGTTATATACATCATTTTTCCATTTTCCTGTTCTTGTTGATGATTTCATCGACCCAAATTTAGTCGAATTGCCATTTTTGTCTTTAATTATTTAATTTTCTGCCAATTATAAAGAGTTTCTTTCGATATGGAGGAGAGCTTTTATAGCATAGTGTTATTTTATATTGACAATGAATGTTAGATGCCCGTGCTTATTATAAAAATAATTAGTCATTTGCTAATCCCGTTAAAGATAGGAAACATTCAACAATTTCTTTATATTACACTGAGGCTTGGTGTAAAATTTTACCATATTAACCATATTTAGTATTTGAGTATTTCTTCCAATGAACCAGACCAAAACTCGTTGGTCTTGATGAACCCAGTGCCAGCCACCAACTAAGTGTGATTTCCACATTGTACATGTCATATAGGTTTTTTATGATGTAAATTTGTTTAAAGATAAAGCCATGACGTACTATTATCATACAGAATTTTTTGCATTATTAATAAAATCCCAACTTCCATTTTTAGGTAAGAGATTCTTCCTACCTATGACACAGATTACGTCATGCATGAACTCTAAAAACTCCAAAAATCCTCAAAGTAGTTGGTAATTTAGTTGATTTATGATTTATTTTAATCTCTCAACAAAAGAGTGAGTACATTGGTAGAAAAGTAAGCGATAGTTTTTTATAACAAATTTAGATGGTTGATCTAAACTATAAATGCCTATTACCATCAGAATAAATCAATAGCCGTTAGTGTCACGACCGCGGAGATTTGCTGAATTATTACCAACAATTTTGTGGCTGCTATATGTGATAGCACGTAATAGGTATTTAATTTTTCCACGAGGGTTTAAACTTGTTTTCCAAAAAAACAATTGATAATGATAATGCATTATACCAAATAGGCTTTAAAATGAATACTATTTATACTAATTGAAAAAAGAAAATTTTTACTTTTTTTTTTTTTTTTTTTTGAAATTTTTATTTTTCATTTTTGTCTGATGTAATAAGATAATATAATAATAATAATAATAAATAATAATAATAATAATAATAATAATAATAATAATAATAATCATAATAATAATAATAATTAATAATTAATATAATATAAACATATATAAATATAACAACATTGGAGAAACAAAACTCCTTGAACTCTATTAACCGTATATATATTTCCTAAATTAAGAAATTAGTTTCACACCCAATTACACAAGAACCTTTTATTATATTTAATTAAAATTTTTTGTTACTAAATAATATTTTTTTCTTCTATGTGTGTTATTATTTTCTAAAGAGAAGTCTCCAATCTCTAATCTCCCAAATTAATTTGTAAAAACTTGTAGAAAAGTTAGAAAAGTTCAGTGATTATTTCTTATTTATTGTGTTCAATCTTTATTATTTACTCTTTTATACATATTTTTTTTTTTGCCCCCCCTCCTCTTTCAAATTAAAATCTCTCCCAGGCCGGAGCAAAGATTTCTCAATCAAAAAAGAAAAATGTCAATTGCCGCAATTAATGGGATCAACAGTCAATTTGTAATTAATAACAATAGTAACGAGGAAAAGATTATGGAAGCTATTAACAATAATTTTATTATTATTAATGATATCAACAACAATAACAACAATAACAACAATAAGAACAATAACAACAACAACAATAATAATTCTTCAATAATAAAAAATAAACTTTCACTTCAACTTGAAATTAATAATGACAAGATGATTACCAAAAAAACAAACGAAAACGGACATGAAAAAAACGAGGAGCAAGAACAAGATGACGAAGAATTAATTACACCAACTCGAACAAATCTTAAAACAATCTTGGAAGAAAAAGCATTTAACAAAAACAATGACAAAAAAATAACCTTAGAAGGTCGTGATGATAGCAGTAGTGACGGCAGTAATTCAATTACTGACAATATATTAAAGAGAAGACCTTCTGCGCCTTCTAAACTAAATGTTGATACTATAAAAATTGTTCAAACAAATTACAATAAAACCAAGACCAACAACAATAATGTTGACACAAAAACAATTTCTACCTCGACACCTACATCTCCAGTACTTTCTTTAGTGTCTCCAAAAATAATTAAATTACGTAGATCTGAATCTTTTGGAAAATTGTCAAAGAAAAACAAAAAAATTATAAATAATTACAAAAATAATAAAAATAATAATAACGATGATCACAATTCAAATTCAAACTCGGGTGCAATATTACCGTCACAATTATCGTCGTCGCCTATAACCACAACCACAACAACGACAACACCACCACCATCATCAACTTCGCTTTTGCCTCCACCTTTTGCTACTATTTCTCCTAAAGGTCGTAAATGGAATCCTAAAACTAATGGATTAAAACCAGCTTCTCCTTTAAATTCTTTGCCAAGAAATGAACTTGATAAAGATTTACTAGCAAGATTGGAACAACAAAATTCTCAATTACCTCCTCAAGTATGTAAATGTAATTTAATTTTTTATATTTATAACACGAATAATACCTTATTTCTAAATATATAAATTTTTTTTTTGTTATTAGGGTTCGGCTGAATTTTTGCTTGCAAGATTAGAAAAACAAAATGAGTTGTTGGACAAAGATCCTAAATCAGTGTGCATCCAATCAAATGTACTTAAAGCCAAACTCGAAACAGTTCAATCATTGATCGATGGAATAAATAATAATAATGACAATGATAACAATAATAACAACATTGACGATGCATCACAATTGAAATTATTGTTAGAAGAACTTGCTAATAACGACGATTTTATTATGACAGAGGAAGATAAATCAAAGATAAATGATTGGGATTTTTGGTCTGCTCTGATTCAAGATTATCCATCCGTCGCAACCAAGTTGCCACATTTACTTGCTGCTAAATTACAAAATGGCTGTCCGCCGAAACTAAGAAGTCTAATCTGGCAATCAATGTCTCAAGCCTCCTCCACGTATTTAGAAACAATGTATGAGCAACTTTTGCCTGAATCATCTCCATATGAACGTATAATCCAACGTGATCTGGCAAGAACTTTTCCTCACGTCGAAATGTTTAAGGAAGAAAATGGCAAAGGTCAAACCATGCTATGGAATGTTTTAAAAGCCTACAGTCTTTATGATCCATTGGTTGGCTATTGTCAAGGTCTTGGCTTCTTGGTTGGTCCATTGTTGATGAATATGAATGAGACCCAGGCATTTTGTGTATTTGTTAGACTAATGGAAACTTATGATATGAGAACAATGTTCACGCTCAACATGGAAGGCCTTCAACTAAGGCTCTACCAATTTTCATCTCTGCTAACCCAAATCCTACCAAAACTCCATGCTCATTTCCAACTACATGCTGTTCAACCAGCAATGTTTGCATCTCAATGGTTTTTATCACTGTTTGCTTACACTTACCCTCTACCGTTGATTATGAGAATTTATGACGTAGTATTTGCTGAAGGCGCTCCTGAAACTATTATGCGGGTGGCCATTGCATTGTTGAAAAAGAACGAGGAACGATTGCTGTCATTTGGAGAATTTGAAGATTTGTTGGATTTTTTAACTTCAAGACTTTACGAGTCTTATGACAATGAGCCTACAGGCCTGATTAAAGATGCAATGGAATTAAGTACTGCAATCACCAAGGCAAAATTGGATCAATTGGATGAATGTTATGTTAAAGAGCTAGAGGAACAGAAGAAGCGAGCAGAGAAATTGGTGGCAGTTAGATTTAACGGAAGATTTACAATTGGTAATAATAAACAGTCCACCAAACACGAAAAGAAGAAAGATAACATTAAAATTACCAATAATGCTACTAATGAAGTTAAGAAACATGAAAAGTCTAAACGTTGGTCTTTTACCAATTTGCCAACCTCAAGAATATCTTTTAATAATAATAATAGCAGCGGTAGCGTTAATAGCATTAGTAGTAATAGTAGTAGTGGTAGTAATAGTAATAGTAATAGCAATAGTAATAGTAAAAACAATGGCATCACTACTAACAACAGTGCCAACCCCCATCATAATCATAAGGATAGTGTTAGCAGCATAAGTAGTATAACAAGTGATATTTCCATCTCATCAACTGACAACGCTTCCTTCTCACCAATCACCACAAACAATTCAAGCGTACTCCACCAACAAATAGAAGATTTGGTGACTGCATTATCTGTATTGCAAAAAGAACATGTGGATATTACTGCACAATTGGTATCTATTAAAATGGAAAAAATGGATTTGGTCACCGATAATGAAAATCTAAAGAATCGACTTAGAGGTCTCGAAAAAGAAAATAAAAGAATATCTTCAACGTTTTCCATTAGTTCTGTTTCTTCATCGTCGTCATTAGATAACAATAAAAGGAACTCGTTGTCAAAATTATCATCTAGAAGAACTTCATGCTCATCAATAAACAATCAGAATATCATTAATAGTAAAAGTAAAAATAGCAATAGCAATAATTCAGCGGAAGATCCAGACATTACACCACGTCCTTCAACTGAATTAACGAGTTCACATAAAGGAATAACCAAAGTTGAAATCGACGCTGCTGCAAAACAACAAGGGAAAAAAGGTTCAGAAAGAAGATCATCAGAATCAGATGTAGTCAAAAATCCACAACGTATTCCATTAGTACCAAGTTTTGCTTCAATGCCAAGAATATTTTCTTCGTATTCGACCTCAGTTAATAATGCATCATCAACAACATCTCCAACAGCATCATTATCATCAACGACAATATTAACGACACCTGAAACATCAGATAATGACAATAACAACAAAAACAACAACAATAACAATAATAATAACATCAATGAAACAGACGAAATAACTGATGAATTAGTACAAACTAAAATGGAAAAGTTCGATTTAATGCAGGAGAATGATGAATTGAATAGAAGAATTGAAGAGTTACAAAGTTCTTTGGAGATTTCTGATGAGGCGCAAACCAAATTAAAAGAAAAGAATTCATTTTTGCGTGAAGAAATCGAGAGACTTAAAAAACGTAAAGTATCGAAAGATGCTAAAGAACTTAAAACTGTCAAAAAACAAAATCAAATTATTATTGGTGAAAATAAAAAACTTAAAAAAGAGATTGAAACGTTGAGATCAAAAATAAAATTAATTAAAGACGTCCAAACTCCACTAGATTTTGAATTTTCCGAGAGCGATGATAGTACAGATGAGGGTGATAGTAGCGGGACAGATGAAGATGATGACGATGAATATAGTAGTAGTAGTGGTAGTAGTAGTGGTAGCTATAGTAGCAGTTATAGTAGTAGTTACAGTGATACTAGTAGTGATAATGTTAACAATAAAAGACTTTCAATATTTGATTATTTCACCGGCAATAAAAATAAAATTACTAAAAATAAAAATGGAAACAACAAAAATAAAAATAGAAATAAATTATACGATGAAGAAACAACAACTACTACAGATGATGATGGGGCATCATCAAATTCGCAAGGTTATCAAATGGTTTCAATAACATGTAATGGTAAAGATTGTGAAGCAAGTAAACAATTAAAAGGTTTGGAACAAGATTTAATAGATGTTAAATTGAAATTGGCAGAAAGTGAAGGATCAAAGGATATTCTAGCCTCTCAATTGGACACTTTAAGGTCATTGGTAAACACCCTCACTGATAATGAATCTAACGATGATAATAATAATAGTCGCTTTATTAATAGGCATAAATTTAATAGTTGTAATAGTAGAGCAAAACCAGATAAAAGAACAAGAACTTCTAGTATTTCAATTGCTTCATTTTTTGGTGGTGGCGGATCGTAATTCAAACATTGTTAATTAGATTATATTTTTTTATTTATTTATTATTCTCATAAAAAATTATTCATTTTATTTTCATTTTTATGTAAATATTATTATTTTCGATAAATATGGTAAAAAATTAATCATAACAGTCAGTGTGCGACAAATGTAAAGTTTCATATCTATTAATACTAATATGCGCTTCCAAAATTTAGTACGATATAACGATTCGAGTCGATAAATTGACTCAACATACGCTATTAGAAAATTAGTGTATGTGTGCCAATTAATCTATCATTGTATTATTAATGGAATTTATATTCTAATGGTTTTTAATAAATCTACCATATAACAGCTTTCATATTGTGAAAATAATTAAATCGCTCGAGTTTAAAACATAATATTCTAGAACAAGATATTTATCCACCATTGCCAATCTTACAACAAACTGCAAAAAACCTGGAGAATATAAAATGCGTATTAAACATAAAATGAAAATTACTTGTCTATTTATTATATAGAACAATAACCCACATATAAAATTCAATGAATTGATAAAAATGCTTACTAAGAAAAGAAGTTTGATAAAAAAAAAACCATTTGAAGCATAATATCACGTCAGCCAAAAAGACTCTATTATGAAATCACATTCAATATTAAATTGAAAATAAAGCATAATTATAATGATTAAGAATCACATGGCAAGAATTTCTTTTTATATGCAATATTCTTGATCTGAACGAAATTAATTCTTAATTGTTCATGCCCTTTTACATCTTTAATATTTTCTTGAAACCATTCTACAGTCATCTCTAGCTGTACTATTGTAGCATGAGATTCAAGTGATTGGTGGTTTGAATTATTCTTGCTAATTTCTTCATGATATCGTGTTCCCCTAAACATATCTTCCGCCTCATAACCTTTTAAAATACATCGATAGGTACGTTCGCCGGTGAAAATCGATTTAATTGTTTTCCAAATACTGTTATCAGCACATGGAGATTGGAAATTATATATTGGCAGGAAGTTGATTGTAAGATGCATCAGGAAAATAAATCTTACATAAACCTACGTAGGGTTCAGAATTGGCCAGCATTATGTCGATATTTTGGTAATTCTGTTAACATTTCCGTATAATGCCGGTCAGTTTTAAACCCTACGTAGATTTATTTTCCTGATGTGCACATGCCGAATTTTCATGACGAACAAGACCTCTAGATGTTTTGTATCGCTTTTTGTCACAAATGGTGCATAGATGTTGACGTTGAATTAAAGAAGGTGGTTTGTCTTGCCATTTTACGTTAGTTATGTAACTATTGGCGTATATTTACTGTCGTGATGTTATGAATACCTTACAACTAGCAAAAACCCATTGGTTTAACGAGTAAAATAGTGTTTTTGAACGGAGTAAATAATTTTCTTATCATTCTACTGATCAGTTACACAATAATTATTCTACTTTCGAACTTTACAATCATATATATGGACTAACTTGCGTTAAAGCCTCACTAACAAAAGTTTTACTTGCAATATATTTGGCTACATTTTACCTTTAAAATCCCCCTCCGGATCCTCCTTCGTTTCATGGATGAATGGAAAAATAAAAGGCAGAAGATATATATGTGTTTGCCAGAGCTACGATATTTGTTAATAGAAAATTGAGGTTATCTTGGCAGTTTTAGTGTTAACCAAGAAACAATACATTCTCTTTATACGTTAATTTTCATAAAAACCTGTTGATATGAATAAAAATACACTACTTCTTTAAAAGTAGCATTTTTAATAGCTTTTGACCTTTTAAGGTTTCATCACAAGTTTGATGAGCTTATTAAAACGAGATGCTTTCAAGCTGAAGGCTTAATTAAGGATCCACATGTAAAGTTTTTTATATTCTTGTAAAAAAACAAAAAAAAGGCTAGAGATACAGTGTATTACGAAAATAATTGACCTGTAAATTTGCTTTCTAAGAAAGTAACGAGAATCAAAAGCCACATTATAAAATTTATATCAGAGGGTCAAGAGATTTTAAATTATTACATGTAATTAAAAAACTTTAAAATTTTCTTTTGAATTTCTTTTATTTTTAACTGATGAAGTGCTAGAAAATATGGATACATATAATTTTATATCCATAATCCTCAAAATTTAAGCTACGAATTGATGTATTTTTTTTTTTTTTTTTGTATAATTATTATATGTGTTTTTGTTAAAAATACCATGTTAAAAATTCAGAGACAACGATTTCATACAACAAATTGGCAATATTATTTTAAGTTTTTTTAATTAATTATCTTGTGTTTATCTGTTTGAGTAATTCGATTCTTTGTCAGGCCAATTTCTTGTGCAGGTAAGGCACATAGTCCCGTAACTTTCTATTGGCCTTGGAGATACTTTAATTCCTTCAAAAAACAATAGAATTAAAGCCAAGCAAGACCTTTCGATATGTCACGTTATCATGGAGAAATTAAAGCAAAAATAATTCCACAAAAGCAAAAAAAAAAAAACATTTTTGAAATTCAAAAATTATTGTACAAGTATAAAAAAAAATAAATAATATTTGGCTTTTAAAAAAAGTTTTGTGTGTACACGAATTATTTACTTGTGCGATAATATAATAATGACTTTTTTTAGAAGGAAAAAAATTCCGATGATGTTGTTTACTTTATAAATGATAGCCGAGATTACTCCTCATACGATAAATTATTGTTATGGTATTGCCGAAATAGTTTTCATGATTCAAATTTAATAATGGCCAGCCAAACTTTAATCAAAATAAATCAATTAACATGGTTATTTAATTCGCATAACAATAAGATAAAAATTGAATATTTTCGGAAATATTGGAAATATTCCGAAAATAATTATTTATTATTTATGTATTGATAGTTATTAATAGTTGATATTACATATATTTGATATTGAATACAAGTTATTATTACATTAAAATTAACATACATATACTTTGTGTAATATAAAAGCGGTTTTTATTTCATCATGAATAATTTTGTGCATAAAATTCAACGTACGCGTAATAGATAATATATATATCATCTATTGATAATAATTCATCAATTTTATCAACCTCTTTTCCTTTACAATTAATAATTATGTGTAACATGAATATAAAAATATATCATTTATATATTATAATTAATCATATTTTCGTTTTAAAATTTTTAATTCATTTCTTTTTAATTAACAATAATGATAAAATGTTTGATTGATTTTTACGAATAATAAATTGTTTGATTATCTGCCATTGCCATTATTATTATTATCATCATCATCTAAAGTGAAATTATTCGCGAAAGGTGTGGTGGATGTTACCCTGTTCATAGTAAAATAGTACAAATGTCAGAGCGCGATTATGAAAAAATTAAACTATGTGATGACGCATTGCATACATACAATAAAATAGCATACATATAACCAACGTAATCATTTTCTAACAATACATTATAAAATGTATTATTGTTATCAATAATGCTCCGTAATTATACATGAAGAAAATAGAACGCGCGCAGAGAAAAATCTTTTTATTGATTTATTGTTTGCTAGTTGTTGTTTCTATTCAATGACATAGATAATCATTTTTGTGTAAATTAACAAATATTCATCATCATCATTATCATCATTATTGTTGTTATTATTGTTGTTATGTTAACAGGACCATTCTTTTTCAAAATCACTTTTCCGGCCGGAAATGGATTTTTTGGGCGAAAAAAAGTCATAATAATCATACTAAATTTAGTTGTTTAAAATATGATTCCGTCATTGATGTATATATATTAATATGAATGACTTTAAAATCATCTTGTATTACAATGATATAAATAATGATTTTTATTGATTATAATATTAATATGTATTTTTATATTGGTAAAAGTTTTCAGGTCGATTGCTTTTACTCTTTTATCAAAAATACTAATACACTAATGAATTTATATTAATATTTACACCTGCCAAAAAATAAACTTTCTGTTACATTAGAGAATAACAAATAAAATTAAAAAAAGTTGACATAATTCCTAGATCAAGTGTATTTTGCTCAAAACCACAAATTTTACTGATAATATGCATCCTTTAGCAATGTTTCTGGTAAATGACAGATAATGCAGTTTTAATTTGATCTCCTGAACAGTCTAATCTGACAACACCTTTAACATCTCCTGGCCATTAGAATGGAGAATGACAATGACATTAGAAATGATTTATTACTTGTATGCGGAATAATTTTTTTCCATGTAAAATGATTGAATGTTGTTGTTGAAAAAAAAAAAATTTTTTTGTGTAAAATTGAATATTGTTTTCCTTTACGTTACTAAATTTGGAAATAACATGGTAATTTTTCTTTAAAAAAAGCATTTACATCGTCAACCAAAAACAGTATACATCTCTTTAACTTACACGTATATATGTGCATATGTACGTAAATGTCAAATTCTATAGTCTTCATTATAATAGTTTTATTTTGCTAATTGTAGAATCAAATTTTTGAATGTAGTATATGGATATCAAAATATTAATAACATGAAGTGGCAGCACCTTTTTAGATGTTCAAACACAAATGCATAATATTCCCTGTAAGTGTGTATATATTAATTCCTGGATTTTAGTTAGACAATTTAAGCAAGAAATAATATATGTTGGTTTTTATAAAATTAATAGAGGGTGAAGTGGATGAAAAAAAGATATTAATATTTTTAGATGGTTACAGATGTTTGTGTTAAAGAAATGGAGAGAGAGACAAAGAAAATTAAATGAGTGTTTAGTCAGGAAAATAGGGCTATTAAATATTTTTAAAAGTGATGAATGAAGCAGTTCATATGATATATATGTACAAGATCAGAAGATGGAAGTGTAATATATATATGGTAAGAAAATAAAGAAAAGGTTTTTTTGTTCTAATAAATATCATCATCTATTAATGTTTATCTTATAAAATCTAGAATGTATTTTAGATGATCTCGCTCTAAGGGTTGGCAGTAGAGAGAAAAACGATAAATATTGATAATGGTGTTGCTGTGTATAAAAATGAAATCTATGTGATCACATTCGTGAAATTAGCTAATCCAAGGGAATTTATTAGATTTCGATTTCACATACAAGGATAATTAATACTTGATTTATTATTAATCAATTGATAATCTAGAATGCATAATTATAAGAATTAACAAAATAACACTAATTAAACAAAAATGATCATTGGATAAAATAGTGATGGTATAGTCAATTTAAATAAATATAATTTTAAAATTTGCAATATAATGTTGTATTAAAGATTGTTTTCCATGTAAAATAAACAGTGAGACGCGTATCAAAGGATTATTATATAAATAGCGCACGCGTCAATTATTTGACATGATCAACAATAATAATAACAATCAGGAAATTTTGTAAAAATAAAATAAAAATTAATGATTTTTATGAAGAGAAGAAACTTGGCGAGAGCTTTATTAAATGGTCATATAACTTCCAAAATTACACACTATGTGTACTTTTAACTATTTTACGAGCCTACCGAAAAATTACAAATAATAATAACTTTATTAATAAAGTTACTATGATTTTTTATTGTTTAACTTGCCATTCAATTCATCTAGTAATCTAATCTAAAATATTAATAAAGGTATGTATTATATTTAATTCATTTTTCCATTTAAATAAATATATATATATACACATAAGGATATACACATAAGGATATGTTTCTTTTTGAATTCCATGCAGTTAAAGTTAGTGGTAATCAAGAAATTGCCATACCATATGTGTTACAAATACAAATTTTTATAATAGATTCATCCCATGAAACAATGATTGATCTTTGTCAAAAACTCTAGCGGTTTGTGATTGTTCAATATTTTTTTAAAAAGTATATTCCATTTTTGTATTACAAAATTGGCGCATTGACTATAAAGCCTTCTAATATCAATCAATAGATAACATTATTATATTAATATATTGTATACAATATAAAAACGGAATTTCTCTGATAATATCATCTAAACTTCTTTACAGTCAATCAACATCGAAATTAGTTATTGGAAGAGTAATTAAATTTATAAAATATGTCTTTGTCGTTCGACTTTTTTAAGAAAACATCTTTAATTTTGTGTATAAGATAAAAAATAATCGTTAATATGAAATGTAAAAAATGAAACAACCCATATTTGATTGGCTGATATGCAGAACATTATTTTTGGCCATATAATGATAAAAATATATATGTTTCTATTGCATACATTCTTTTTTTTATTTCTATTTCTTCCCTTTGTCATTATTATTATTATTACATCATTTCGTCTTTTTAGTTCTCAATTCATTTCAAATTAGTAACTAATATGCATCAAAATATAAATTACAATACGAGTAAATAACAAATGTCAAATATAATTATTACTATCGTAGATTTTGTTTATTTTTAAATATTTATTATTATTATTGTTATTTTGTTGTGTAATGTTTTTTTATTTTACCTTGCATTTATATTTGACAATGATAAAAATTTTTCTACCGTTAAAATTAAATATCAAGTTGCATTCACTTTTTTTTTTTAAGATGTCTAATATTCAATCAATCAATTTAATCATACCCAAACAATATTATTTTGTAATCATTGTTTTCATTTCACTCTTCCTTGGTAACGTGAACTTAAAAAAATTTATCTTGTTAAAATCACAAGATTTTTGTTCAATATTAATAAAGTTTGACGGCTGCTACCAAAAATGAATGGATTGATATTTATTATATTGACGATGATAAGATAGATAAATTGTCTAATATTTGTTATAAACTTTTTTTTGTCGTTTAAATTTGTTTGTTTGATTAATATTAATGACACATTATCAGTGTCGTATATAACTGTACACCGCCTCCGCACTTAATCTTAACACGACATATAGACAGTTAAAATAGAAACCACAATTATTAGCATTAGTAAAATTTTAATATAAAAAGGAACAAAAAATTCTTAAACAAAAAATAATTTCTTCAAATAACAAATAACAAAAAATGAATAAACAATTTAATAATAAAATAGACGATTTTGAGAACAGATGGTGCCTTAGTCTTGTTCCCGGAAAGATAAATGATCACTTAACATTAACACCGCAAAATAATCACAGCGTTGAACCTAATTTCGGTCAACGAACATTATTTAATGGTTCAATTTTATTGGATCAAGTAACAATAAATTTCTGGAAAATATACGAAAAACAATTAGAATTAACCAACCTTCAAACTGAGCTAACGAAACAACAATCGGAACTCAGAAATCAACAATCTGAACTGACGAAAAAACAGTCAGAGTTAGCGGATCAACAATCAGAGTTGACGAAAAAACAATCAGAAGTAACGAGGGAGCAAACAGAACTAGCAAAGCAACAATCAGAACTTTTTAAAAAACATTATGAGCTGTTTAATTAATTAACATATTTAACATATGCATATTTAGATTTTTTTATATATATTATTTTTTTGTTTATTTATTTTTATGTATTTAAGAAATAAAAAATTTTAATTGCAATCTAAAATTTGTTATCAACTAAAGTTATATGTGAATTTCGCCACACATTTACCAAGTCATTTTTTCAAATTAATCTATGCATTTTTAACAATAATTAAGACTTTTTTCTAATTATCATTCAATATGTCATCATCACATAATATATATATATACACTTTATTTATTTATTAAGAATTATGTAAGAAATAAAGAAAATTTTAATTGTAAAGGATTTAGTTCATTTTTTGGTTGCTTTGAGCAATTTAAAATTCCACATTAAGATAGAAATCTAAAATTTGTCATTTACCTAAAGTTATTTTTTAATTGAAAGAAGAAGCTCTTATGACAAGTAGTTCATGTTTTTGATTGTTTGTGTGAGCTAAAATTTCACAATAAGATAGAAACCTAAAGCATATTCCGATGTAAATATATATATACATATACATGTACATATATATACATATATATATGTATATATATATCTGATTAATTTAGAATGAAATGAAATTAGGAAACATTTCAGCAAAAATTGCTTTCCTATTAGAGGTCTGTTTGTGGTTTATTATATAATTAAAAATAAACATAACCAAAGCCTGATAATAAGGAACAACCATTATATCGTATGCATGTTTGTATGCATGTATGTATGTATACCTTAATAATAATGAATGTAAAAAAATTTAATAAAGATAAGTGATGTACACACATAATTTTTAAAAACCAAATACCAATAATATCGACTATTAATAATATTCTTCATGTTTTGAATTTTATGCCTTCGTAAGGGACGTGCGATATATTAGTTGAGGTGAGTCTCAGACCTCACATGACTATATATAGTAAAAAAATTTTATTACACAAATTCCTTATTTTTGTCATTGTTAATCTAGAATTGAATTAAGAGAATTAAAAACCTTGGTGAAATTGATGGTAGAATTAAGTGTGAGAGGAGTTTCATGACCAACTAAGGTTGGTCAAATAAAGATTCCAGCTTAGGATTTACCATTACTTTGATTATTTTGAGGGAACGTTCCTTTTTGAGATGAGTGAACATATGGTAGTGACATTTTTAAAGCTGGTTGATGGCATAATTGACTCTTCAATGTTGTTGATAAAAGTAGAAAATAAAAAATAGAAAATAGTAAATAGAAAATAGAAAATAGGGTTGATTATTTAATATGTGTTTCGCAATTGAGATTTGAATTTAATGATTACAAGTAATTGACATTTTATTATAAGCATATGCATTAGCAAATTCTTGATACAAATTTATTGGAAATGAATTTTTTATCAAACTTGGGTCTTGATAAGGAAGATTGCATCTTATATTCAATGAAGATTATGTTTAATTAATTAGAGTTATTAAAGGACGCATTGTAATAAAAATCGAATTCTATTGTGCAGGGCTGGAAATAGGATCCGAAAAAACGGAATTCCTCCTGGATGCTAAAAATTTGTAATAAAATTACTTTAAAAATTTTATGATTTTTTTTCCTGGAAGCTAAAATTTATTAAAGGGAAATCCGGACTTATTTCCAGAAAAAAATTGTTTTACTTTATTTGGTTTACCAATGATTTCAGGGATCAAATATGTTTGTCTAACATCACAATTGTATTACCAATATAATATCATGATATTTATCTAGACAAAATAGTTAATATGAAATTACTTTACATTAGGTCTACCAGGAGGACTCCGATAGGTTACTGCTGCGGTTGGATCAAATTCATATATAAATTTTTTGTCAGTAATTATAATAGGGTCAAATTATTTATTAATTTAAAAATGTAACAATCATTAATAGGATCAATTAATTTAGTGTTAGGGTCAAACTGTGGGTCAAATTATTACATCAAAAAGGTTGGTTAGGTTTAATAGGGTCAAATATATTAATAGTCAATGATTTAGGGATCCAAAAATTTTGCATAATTTTTTATATATAAGAGGGTAAAGATGAGAATCATGAATTTTAAAAAATAAATCCATTTACGCTCATTACTTCTTGTAACAAGCTTTAATAAATTAAAAATTAAAACCTTCTGCCATTATTTAATTTTTGCAATTAATTGTTCTCACAACTGCTTCTATATTTAAATGAAATGCCTCCAAAAAGTAAAGTAACTTTATCAGATTCCAAAAATATGAATTTTGCTTATATGCACAAAATAACAAAATGACCAGAAAAGAATATGTCAATTGGATTGAAGAAAAATGGGGGGGGGGGGGTTAGAGTAGATGAATCAACTATAACAAGAACTTTGCAAAAAAGTGATGATATACTTAACACTAAAGTCACCAATCCAAAAGCCAAAAGACGTAAACCTGTAACAGTTCCCAAACTTGAACTTGCACTTAAGGAATTTGTTTTAATCTATCAAGATAAAGCTATCTTAAGTGAAGCTATTTTAATCAAAAAAGCCAAGCAATTGGCAGATGGCTTGGGAATTCCAGATGGATCATTGGGATCCTCTGCTGGATGGCTCCAAAAGTTTAAAGAATGTAATGGAATTCGTCAACAAAAGCTTCATGGAGAAGCATCTTCAGCTAATCTTGTAGCCATTGCTGATGCACTATTGAAAATTAAATGGGGCATGGACAATAAAAAGGGGAAACACGCCTTTGAGAAAATTGAAAAAGATCTGCATCTCCATTATTATTTTTTAAACCTTTAATATCTCAAAATTTTATTAAGTAAAGTCAGCATGGTTACTAACTAAAATTAATTTTCGTGATGAATTGCATATATAAATGTTGTCAACTCAAAACCACGATCTTTGTAATTTCTATTTGTCAATATCATGTTTACTATTTTTTAATATACTTAACAGGAAATTTCTCAAAATTTTATTAAGTGGGCATAGTTTCTAAGCTAAAATTATTCCTTGTGACAAGTTATGTATATATGTGGTATCAACTCAAAATTATGATTTTTGATGTCTACTGCCCATGCCCCATATAATATGGATGAAACAGGTCTTTTTACAGATTAGAGCCAGATACATCATTGGCCACACGGAACTATTGCTTTGTGTGCAAATGCTGATGGATCTCACAAATTAAATCCCTTAATAATCAGACACTTAGCAAAACTATGGTGCTTTACTAATGTTAATATTAATAAACTTATTAATGACATATCATAATAATAAAAAGGCTTGGATGTTGCCTGAAGATGATAAAATTATTGAAGAACTTGTTGAAATATATATAAAAACCAACCAGAAGTACCTACTGATAATAATGAAGAAGTTGATAGCACTGAGCTAGTAATAATAAGCACGAATGAAGCTTCAAAAATTGACCATGCTTTTTATTACAACAAGAAAATTCTAAAGAATAATTAAAGCAAGTTAATGCTCTTGATCAATATATTAATTAAAAAAAATAAATTCAATGAAGCAAACCATAATGAGTCAATTTTTTAATCAACAATAATATTATTAATATGTAATAATAATATATAAATAAAGAGAATTGTTATTCGCACCCCATGTGACTAAGTGTAGTAATGTGACCAATGAATGGCTTAAAATGTGATGATTTTATTGGTTCATCTTGTCTTAGTCACATGACAATAATTTTTATTAGTATCACGTGAAGCCAATAAAATTCTTTCTCTTTATAAATGCATCCCTCCATAAATGCACACTCTCATCCATTCCTGAGGGGGGTGTACTTATAGAGTGTTTACTGTACTAATTAAAAATCCCGGTTTTACAGATAAAGTTCAAAGAACAGTTCCATAATAAACCTTAATAAAAACCTTCCCAATACAGTGGATATCTAGGTTTAATGGATTTTTGGAAATTTTCCCTAATTGCCCAAACTATCCATTAAACCTAGATTTACTGTGTATACAACAAATAATTTTTTTGAGAAAATCTCTCTATTACATTAAAATTAAAAGACCTATTCTATCAACTAATAGAGCTATTTTTTTAAAGGGTAGAACAGAAAATGACTCCATACTTTTAAAATTTGCACAAGATTTAGGAGGTCTTTAGACTGAGCCAACTATAGCACATTTAAAAGTATTTTGAAGAAAGAACAAAGTGAAAAATTGTACCTTATATTTTCAAAATAAATGAGACTCAGACACTTGAAACTTATCTAAAAAAGAAAGGATCACTTATGAAATTCACCAAGAAAGAAAAATAATAACACTAAGAAAAAGAAGCAGAATGAAAATGTGCTATTATCCAACAAAATGCAGAAATCTTTAGAAGGAAAATAAGGCATGTTGCAACAAAACCAGACAAGGTGAACATCATGCATGTCACATGGAACTACAGGCCTCAAATTTAATCATCACTAGCATGATTATTATTATGATTTGATGTCTCATCTGTCATTCTTTTGCAATTATAAAACAAACAGTTAGCCATCCAGATATAAGTATATTTTGAAATTTATTATATATAATATTAATCAACCTATGGTTGAATAGCATATTTGTCATGTTATGAAAACTAATGACATTCTAAAGAATTGTAATAAAAAAATTCCGTTCTTTCAAATAAAGAATAACAAGAATTTAAATATGCTATAAAAAAACTAACAAAAGGTTTTTCTTTTTAATTAACAATATTCAACTTAATTTACTTTTTTCTGTTTCTTGGGTTTCTGTGGAGAATATAACATTTCAGTAATGAACAGAGTTGTATTTTCATTTTTGTTTGGTGATGCCAAGCCAGACTCATAAATACATTTGTTTATATATTAGATTGACTTTCCAATAACAATGTCTACAAGTACAATTATATCAGTCAAGAAAATATAAATTTTCTTTCAAAAATAAATAAATAAAAAAGTATTTATTGATACCTTAAAATGCAAAAGGATAGGTATGCATTCTCTTAATTTAGAAATATTTTGTTTAGATGTTGGAATAATAATTCTCTCTATTTCTCTAAAGATATATAATTGTTTAAATGGAATCAATAATTCATAAATGATAAAGCAAGCATCAGAGATAAGCAGAATGAATATTATTGAGAATAAAAGCTTAATGTATACATGTAAAGCATAAAGTTTTATTAGATTTAGATTAGCAATGGTTCCACCATGAATTCTAACAATTTTATTTATCATACATAACCTTAAGCATTTTGGCAATTTTAACTTTGTCTCCAATGTAATGAGTGTGTTATCTGGTCTTTGGAGGCCCAGAAACTTCTGATATTGCAAATTCAATTTTTAGAGATTTTGTTATCCACACTGTATCAATTTTCCTACCACTACTCCTCTCCTCATCATCACTTTTATTCTTGTCTTGATCATCTGCCAAAGCAAATAAATTCTTCTCATGACTGAATATTATTATTTCATTTTATGATTTTTTAAAAAGAAAAGTTTTAATTTAGGCCATATATATTATATACTACTTACCATATATGGGTGCGGAAAATAGAAACAGCCCTAACTACAAAACCATGATTTTGAGATAATTAAAAAAAGATTTTGACCCAAAAATTCGGTATTTGTATATCGTTTCCATATTTATAAGAAAAAATAGGGGCTGTTTTCCAAACAAATAATAACAATATATAATAATATAAATAATAAATAATAATTTAAATCCGTGTTACGTTATTTAACCAAATACCTGGATTTGTACCTATCATTGCTTATTTTAGTAAAGCACTGATTTTTTGGTTTTTATATGATTCAGACATAGTTTCCTTCAATAAATCATTCCTGTGTTCAAATGATCTTATTCTATAAAAAGGGTTAAAACAACAAGGTAAACAACCTATGAAGTTATCAAAAAATTTTTTCATAATATAAGGATGCCTAGAGCATAAAAAAGAATCTCAGGTGAATTCCTTTGCATGATCCTCACATGTTTTTAAGAAAAATTCATTGATGGATTTTTTTAAATCTTTTCCCTGAAATAAAGTAATTGTAAATATAAGGTATTTATTTGAAAATAGTTATCTTTTTTTCAATGTAGCATACCTTTAAGATTTCAAAGATAAGATTTTTGATTTCAAGAGAGTTTTGTTTATTTCACTACTAATGTTGATTGTAAATGATTTAATAAATTTACTTTCAGAGCCACTGATTATATTTATGATGTTGTAACCAGCAAGACTACTGTTGTAAAATAGAGATTTATTTTGGTGTGTATGAATAAATCATTATTAACTAAACTTACTCATTAAAATTTTTAGCCTTGTTAGACTTCCAATTATCAAGAGATATCCTTATATTAATATTATCAATAAATAAATCTTTGTAATTGTTTAAAGCTTCATGTGTTAATAATTCATATGTTTTATCATCAATTGTTTGATAGTCTAATGCATGAATATCCTGCCGGTAAAAGAAAAAATAGAAAAATTAATAACTTTTTGTTTTGTAATTACTTCATTTTCTATGGGTTAGAAATTGGGTCATATCAAAACAACCAGCCTTATCATTCAAAATAATAAATATTACTACTTACTTTATTTCCTTTGATGATGATAAAAAAGAAGATTCTCTAGGAAGCAACACAAAATCAACGTTTAAGCCATCGAATGCATAAATTAACACATATTTCTAATAAGCCTACTGGTTTTCATTTTTCCATCAGTACATTTTTTTTAATTGTATATATTAATATTAAAGTTCCTAAACGGGTCAAGCTAACCCGATAATTTCGGGTCGGGCTGGATTCGGGATCATACAGCACAGGAATGCAAAAATGTACAGCATTGAATGTCTGTTAACTGAAATTTTTTTTATTTTAATTCAATTATTAAATAGAAAAATACATAAAAATATAAATTAAAGAATTGTCAGAGCACTTGCATTGGAGGAAAAATGCTCAGGCCCAATACCATTTGTAAGTATTTCCATTATTATATTATTATTACTAATATTTATATCATCATTGTTTTTGTTATCTTTTTCATTTTTACTCTCTATCTCTTCCTCTTCAACCACTGTTGGATTACTTCTATCATTTTCCTTATATGATTTGTTTTTCATTTGTGCACTCCCCTACCATAAATATCCGACCTCCCTAGTTGTATAACGTCAAATGAAAAAGAGTCCTTACTAAAAAGTAACGTTTTCTTAAATAAAACCGCTTTTACTTTACTAAGTAGACTTGTACTTGATATCAAAATCTCTAAATTACAAAAGCTTTGAAAGGTCCGGTATGGTATTTAATGGAAACATTTAACAAATAGTCCAAAAAAGCAAATTTTCAATCGGAATCTTTACATGTAATAAAGGTAAATTAAATCGTGAAAAGGGTTTAAAAAAGTATCCAACCACCCCGTAATTTTATTATATACAATTAATAAAGTTGACAAAATGCAAATTTTAAGGCTTACGTTTTGTTGTCTATACTTGATCAAATTTTCTCAAATTTTAACCATATATAATTCAAGATATTTTAAGTGGACTTACTTAACGATGTAATCTATGATTCAACGGAGTTTTGAAGGTTTTTACTAAGCTCAAAGTTTTCATAAAAATCATGGAATTTTTTGTCTAATTTAAAATTTTCATCCTAAATTCATTAATAATGCAAAATCACCGAGACTTTAAGCTTATATGCCAATTAACTTTAAAAAACATGTTTACTTAATGCACCAGTCTCGTTTTGATTAATAAAATTTTGAACTGCATAAGGCGTAACATTCCCGATTATTAAAATGATCATCAGGTGGTCGGATATTTATGGTAGAAGTTTTTAATAGTAGAGGCAGTAACTTCTTTCTCTCCAAGTAATTCATGAACTTCAATGACCATTTCATTAAAGGAAAAATCAGGATTTAATCCAATCTCTTTATCAAATAATTGCTTAAAATCCTTCATAGATTTTCAATTTCTTTTGAATATTTTTTATAACCGATAAGTATTTTTGTTTTATTTTTAAACTGGCCTTTTCTTGATTCTATTTTATCAATAATTTGGTTGATTTTTTGGTTTACAATGTAGATTTTATTTTATAGTTTTATAATGAAGAAAGAAACCAAGAAAGAGTCCAATTAACAAGCCGCAAAAAAGTTCACCATCAGGAAAATAAACATTTTTTAAAAAATGCTATTATGGATGAAATCCAAACCAAGAGTGCTACTTTGAAAGTGTACATATCAATAAACCCTCTAACTTATTCTCCAAATAATTTAAAAATCATTCTTGTATAATGGTTACAGAAGGACACAATCCTTGATATTCCCTCTTGATCATCAATTTTTTAGGCATGATTATTCATAGAAATATTCATTCCAAAGAAAAATAAAGATTTTAACAAGTGGAAACTTAAAATGTTTATAATTAAAATCTTCCTTTTTCCTAATACAATTGGTATATTAATTGTCACATACTTATATTATCTGTATTTTTTTTTAACGACGTAATCTTGTTGTGACATTTTATTAATTTAAATTGATCGATAAACATAAAAAAATTTTTTAAATCGTTTACGATGCACAGCTCTCCCGATTTACCGTAAATGATATTCATTTGGAGTGACTTGGCATCATAATTATCTATATATTAATATGAATAAAATTCCACACCTGATAATCTTCACAAACACATGGCAATAAAATTTATTTCATTTTTGATTGTCTCATGAACTGCCGCTGCGGCGCAGAAAGTTGTATGGACTAGGAATATATTAATATTAATATAGAATTACATGTCGATCGAAAAACTTTTATTAGTATTAGTGGTTACATTTGATCCCCTGTAGTCACGCAATGTCCCGAGACTACTTTGTTTGACGCATAATTTGTTGCATAATTGTTGCATTGATTTCAATTTATCCAACATTTATGCAACAATTATGCAAAATTTTTTTGATTATGTAATCATCTCTAAGTTATGTAATATTAATATTAAATTCTATGAGCTAAGGTTTGCATATTATAACGTTTGTTTGAATCTATATAAATTTTCTTTTAGATTCAGGAAAATCTTTTGGATCACACATTAATTAATTATATTGGATAATAATATTTTTATATAGTTAAAATGAAGAAAAGTGTAAAACCAGTTTTACATAATTTATTTTAATATTACAACATATCAACACAACTAGGTATAATAATATTTACTTCTAATTTCTATTACTATTATACCTGTATTATATACATTTTGTAGTAAACTATTTTCTAATGTTTGCTTCAAAAATTAAACGTTTTCAAGTCTTCAAAAACATTTTCAACGACGTTATCATCATTGAAATCAACATTTAATGGATCATTCTTTTTGTTTTGAATTTCTTCAATGTTTAAATTACTATGTACATAGTCTAATTTTTTTACAGTTTCATCATCTAAATGTTTTCGTAGTTTCGGATGAATAAAGCTAACATTTAAAAGGGCCTGTTCAGCCGATGCTGGAGAGGTTGGAATTGACAATAGTTTGACAGCAAGCCTTTTCAATTCGCTCTCTGGCCAAGATTTCCACCACAAACTTGGTTCTACTTGATCAACGCAACTCCAAATTAGTTGATCATTGTACGGTTCCATTTTATTACGGAATTTTAAAAATTCTAGATGTAATTCGTTTGATTTATCGGGATATTTTGCATTAAGGAAACTAGTAAAAGTTCCCATTACTTCATAATCAATCACCAATTTGTTGTTTTCTTCGTAGTATTTTGGATCTAGCATATATGCAACTGCTAACGAATCCTTGTAGATAGATTCATATCCTTCCCCAATTAATTTAAGCACCTGTGATTTGAATTGACAATTTATTTGTTTCGTCTTATAAAACAAATCATTGAACAGTGGATAAATTGATGAATGTACTGACTCGTTGGATTCAAATAATTTCAACAAAAAGGCTATTGGTTCTAAAATCATTATAATCGCTTCCAATTGATTCCAGAACTGAGGATCTAAACAATCTGATTTTAGATTCGTGTTGATGTTGTTATTAGATTGCAGAATTCCCATTGTTAGTTGAATTTCGGCTTTTGATTTAAACAATGATGATAATGATTCTAAGCATTCCAAATGGGAGTCCCAACGAGTTAAATTATTTAGTTTAGCAAAAGCTGAATTTTGTTGTTTAAAGAATTTAACAATCGATTTGGAACTTTCTATTGTTTTCTCTATTTCTGTTATTTTTATGATTTCGCCAATTAATAAATTCACAACATGTGAAGCACTACCAGCACAAATGATATGAGGATATCTGAGTTCTAAAAGTTTCCATGCATCTTTCATATAACTTGTTGTATCAGTAATTACTGAGCAAAATTTTTCAGCTCCAATTTTCTCAATTTGTTTTGAGATTTGATCAGCTATCCATTCAGCTGTATGAAAATTTTCTTCGGAATAAATAGAATCGTAAAGAAATGGTAAAGGAGTACAAATTATGAAATTTCGAACGTATTCATTTGCAGTATTATTCGAACAATAAACCAAGGTTAAATTTTGTGCATTTGAAATAACTTCTTCTATATTATGTTTAGATTCATAATAAATGTTATCTAACAATTCATCAGAAAGTGATTTTTTATTGGGTAATTTAAATGATGGTTTTAATTTTTTAAAAAGTTCCACCACATAAGGATTTTCTATAAAGTCGGCTGAAATATTACTCGAGTATAATGCTTTAGCCAGCATTATTTCTAATTTCTTTTGTTCTTCGTCTGACATTGTATCCAAGGAATTGTCAAGTGTAATTGAATTTTTATTTTTTTTAGAAGTATTGGAAGATGGTGATATATCTGTATTTTCAAAAGAACGAGCCAAAGGTTTTTTATTTTTCACTTTTGAATTTTCTGGGGCATTATTGCATTCGTCGTTCAAATGTGCTTGCATCCTTGTTGCAACTCCTTGTTTGTATGTTTTATCACAATAATTGCATTTTACTGTCGGAGCATTTGCTTCGGTGTCATATGAAGTATAATGTCTCCAAACTTCACTTTTGGGTTTTCCCATTTTATTTTGATGAATGTAATATTGTCAGATATCGTGACTTTAGCGTGATAATTATAACGCAGTCTTGAAACAATGGTTTAATAGGTAATTTAATTAAACAAAGATGATTTTCTGATTATCGATATTTTATTATAAGATTTTTATTATGTAATGGTTTTATTGCAACTTATTATTAAGTGAAGTATTATTCAAAGGAATTTAAGGTGTTTAAATACTTCTTAATGTTTCACATGAAACTTACTTGCAAAAGATAAAAATTTTAATCCTTGTTCTCTTTTTCACAATCCCATATGCCTACATAACTTGATCAATATTGAGGATAAAAATATTTTAATTTTACCAATTTTATTAGTATGCACCAAGATACCGCATTACATTAATACTAACATTTAATATTAATATTAATATGGTATTATACAGTATTATATCATGCATTGGTATAATACATAATAGGGACCTAATATGGTTATGAGTATCACAGTTCAGCTGTTGAATAAATAAATATTTAAAATTGATTTCTGGCGGAAACTTCTGATCAAAAAAAAATTTTTTTCATAATATAATATGTAGAGAGAATTAATTCTTCTATAAGTCCTTTGAAAGAGTCTGGAACCTGGCCTTTGTGTAACGGATGATTTCATTTTTTTAATCATGTCACCGATTAATTTTTAATTTGATGAAGATAAAAATAATAGATTATGATGATCCAACTGAATAGGATATGATTTGATTATTTCTCACGTCGAACCTTGCTCTTTATTCAAGGACAGTTATTGTCAATTCGAGTTGTTTATATATACATAATGTTTCATTAGAGACGACGATGTTCGATCGATACAAATTAAACGTGTATGACATCGTGTAAATAAATAAATGAGATGATGCCAAGAAGAGAAATCGTTAATCTAAATGCCATTTTAAATAAAAGTTCGCACATTCATTCAATAAAATTCGATTTTCCATTTCGATTTTGGATTTCGATTTTAATCGAAAGTTTTTAAGAATAATGCGAATGACCCTTTAAATTAATTCTATCCAAACACGATTTAAATCTCTCTTCTGTTAATAATTTAAATAAAATGCGAGTTAAATAAATACATAAAGTCATGGATACAAAATAAAATGTATAATAAATAAATAAATTTCATGTTTCTATAACATCAAATACTTTTAAACGATGGTTTTGGAACCGGTCTTTCGGCTCCCTGAAAAAAAAAACTCTTTGGAAACGAATTTGAACCAGCACAACCCTAGTCACACGTCTATCACTCGAATTTTTTTTGTTGCCTCTTCAAATGGTTTTGACGACCAACACTATTTAATATCACAAAGCCTAACATAAATTTTGCGCAAGGTTTGATATAATTCAATAAAGTCATCAGCCAAGTTATACTTTTTTATGCTATGGCTCAAAGGAAAGTAATATTAGTATGCAAATAAAGAAACATGTGACACCACTTGTTGGTATCCATTTTACTTTTTTAGAGTACTTGTAATTATGCACCTACAAATCAACTCGTAGGATTGAAATCATTTCATTATTTTCAGGAAATTCTCCGCCATCGGAATTTCTTTACGCGACTATTTCAGTTGGCGGCTGATAATGGAACTGCATTTCTCATTGGAGGGGTGGGGAAAGAAAAACTTGGTACACCAGCTTATGCACAATTAGACTATTCAATCAATATAAATGCCCTAGATACATGGAATGCATCACTTATCGCTTGTGATAACAGCTGATATTTCATCAAGGCAGCCAAAAAATAATCATCTTCAGTAATAATAATGAAATTGGCTAACTAACTAGAAATGGATTGGTCTGTCAGAGAATTTGGTCGTGTAACAGAATTACGTAAAGATCAATCGACATTAATATAATTAAAAAAACAGATATATATGTAAAATATGAAGATAAATTTTAAAACTATTTATTTAAGCCAGTTAAAATAATTAATGTTGGTGATTATTTCTTTGATGACTTCGACGATCTCAAGAACGAGAATGAGAACGAGATCTACGATCTCTTGATAGTGAGCAAGATCAATATCTATGCATTCTTCTTTTATCTCTACTTGGATGACGACGACAATCTACATTTTATCTTCTATATATATATATATATATATATGCCTTTTGGAACATATCCGAGAATAATAAATATGTTGTTTTAAATTAAACAATCATGGAAATAATAAACAATTACCAGTTTGTAGCCAGAATTCGTTATGATTATATCTATTGGGAGGACGTAAAACATTTGGTCCTTGGTCTTCATTGAGGATACACAATGCATTTTCATAACCTCGTTTTAAGGCGTACCACTTTATTTGGCACTATCTGCTTGTGATGAAAAAATTATGTGGTTGTTGTCCAGATCTTGTTATGTTGATAATTTGCATTATATGCAAATGCTTCTTGGTATTGCCGTCATTGGTGAATTTAAGTTAATGTAGCATCATACATAAAACGTTGAGTGCTAATCCTGCCATATGGAGATCTATCAAGCATTAGTTTTGTAGTAAAAAGAAAAAGGGTTATCCATATAGAAAATTTATATAATATTTATTTCTAAGGAATAATCCTTTAATAAAGTATGTAAATAATTATAAATAAATTCATAGAGTATAAAAGATTACCAAGTAAAAATCATATATTTTTTCATCAACTTTCAATAATTCACGAATTTCACATGACCTTCCTGATTTGTCCTTCTTTTGGGCCCGTGAATGTTATTGTTGCTATTATTGTAGCTACTAGCATGACTATTATTATTGTTATTATTATTATTCTAGTTATATTGCCTCCATATCTACTACAATACTACTACTGTCATTATCATTACTGATATATTATTGCTGATATTATCATCATCATCATCATAATCATTATTCTTATATAGCTTTACTGGTGTTATTATTACTTCCATAATTACCATATATATTACTACTATCGTTATATCATTATTATTATTATCATTGTTTCTAGTTCTATTATCATTATTATTGTTATTATTACTTATTATTATTGTCATTGTTTCTAGTTCTATTATTATTACTTCCGTAGTTACCATATCTGCTACTACTTTTTATTATCTTTATTGTCATTGTTTTTGGTTCCATTATTATTACTTTTGTAATTACCATATCTACTACTACTGTTATTATTATTATCATCATTTCTAGCTCTGTTATTATTGGTGTTATTATTACTTCCATAATTATCATATATCTACTGCTATCATTATCATTATTGTTATATATTATTATTGTCATTTTTATTTTAATTCAAAAAAATTAATTATAATTACATATTATCACAAATAAACTAAATACCTCTTGTTGTGTAAATGGTTTTTCCTTTCATCAATTTCGTTAATTGTTTTAACCCAACATTCTAAAGAAAATAAATAAATTATCATACGCGTACATGTTTTTACCAAAAAAAAAAAAAAAAAGGATTATCTGGTGGCGTACGACGATCAGAAATAATTGTTGCACAATACACAGTGAATCTCGATTTAGTGGTACTAGTACTAATTAAAAAATCTCGGTTTTACGAATAAAAGTTCAAGAACGGTTCCATAATTAAAACCTTCTCGACATAGTGGATTTTTGGAAAAATTTTCCTAAATGTCCAAACTATCCGTTAAACCGAGATTTACTGTGTAAACAAATATAATATATTAATATGATATGTATAAGAAGTTTATTAAAAATTCTCAACTTTTTTATCAGACAATGAAGCATTTGTGTATGAGATGTCAATATCTTTTCAAAGGTTGTATATTCTTGTGAAATTTTGCGGCCAAATTTTCTATTTAATATTCAAGTTTAGGGTACACTAACTTGTCTCTTACATTTAGAGTTTCCTTTCTAAACTTTAACCTCTTTTCTAATCTAGTTTAGAAACCTTAAACTATTTTCGAAACTTCAGATATTTTCCGTGAATCAATGAATTTTTCCGATTTAATTTTCCGCGATCCATAAAATTAATACCATGATAATATCAAAATCATTTTCTCTTCAAGTGAACGTTTTTATCAAAAGTTTATTTTATTTGACATTATTGTTCTGACAATTAATTAATTAATTAATTAATTAATTAATTAAATCATTGGTTTAGTTAAAATCAACAAAAATATAATAATTTTTTTATTTGTTCTAATATAATTTTTCTCTTTCTTAAAAATATATATAAGTTTTTTTTAATCACAATATTGATGTAGATATAAATAGTTCAAAAAAATGCAGTTTGGCAACATTTTGAATGTTATCCTTCAAAACATCCAGGACATTTTGGAGCCAAATGCAAAACATGTAATTGTAAATGGAGTAATGGAATTGCACATGAATGTGATATATCAAAAAAAGATATATGTATATTGTTGCAGAAAGAGATGGTGTAAGTAGTGAATCTTTGGTAAATGCAGCATATAAAGCAAATATACAATCACTTGCTAATTTTTGGGATAAAGATGAGATGTTATTAAAAAATGTGCTGGAATTATTGATCATTCAATTTTAAAGGCTTTTGTGACTTGTGGTATCCAGAAGTATTTGATTTTGATACAATTCCTGGAATTTCACCCCCACCAAATTATGTAAAAAATTATTATTTTTTAAAAACTTTATTAATAATGAGTAATAATAATAATAAGCAAAAATAAAAAATAAAGATCAAGAATATTTGTTTGATTTGGGATTTTAGACAGTTTAGGAGTTTCGAACAGTTTAGGAATTCAAGCTCATTTTCTAAACCAGTTTAGAATGAGTTTAATTTCGAATAATCCTAAACTCATGAGTTTCAGAAGGCAACTCTAGGTCATATAAATCGTTAAATTTATTATAATTATTAAATTTTACCATTCATACTATCATCGACAAAAAAGAAAGAACGTTTCTGAATCCTTTAATATTAGACCAGAATGTGACATGAAATATGTTATCTCACATATCTTGAATTATCATGGTTCTAGAAGTAACCACTTAAGGCAACTCTTTGATTATATGACAACTTGTCTATCGTTCGACAGAATGAAAACCTTATTCAGTGGGCGGTGCAACTTGGAACCGGTCTTCAAGATTTAATATATCTCGGGAAAGATTTAATGTATATCATCACTTCTGTCTATTTGCTTCTTATCTCGGAGGTAAGTTAGAAGATTATAATTATCATAGACCCGAACCATTTAAGAATGGAACTGCAATTTACTTCAAATGTTGGAAACTGATCGTGTTAATGTTAATGCAAAACCTAGGAGAATATTTAACCACTTTAGAAGCAGATATGTAAAAATTCTCGAATCTAGCGACCCGATGCAGGAACATTGGGATTGTGAATGTTCTAGACATAAAATCGATTTTGGCCATATAAGAATTATACAACAAGCTTGGATAAATTATAAGAAGCAGAATCGAAAAGAATTTGGGAAGTGGTAAGGAACGGTAATACTCCGATGAAAAGAAATTTTTAGGTATAACTCCTCACAAGATAAAGAATCCTGAGACTCCACAGCAATACGCATTGTGCATTGCTAAGAAGATTTCAGAGTACAATAAAATTGTGCCTAGACCTCTAATACCTAACGTGGAATATAAGAGATACTTATTATCTTTATGATTGGATAGGTTCCAATTATCATGTTGAAGATCTATTAAGAGAACGAGGTTATAGAGTAGTGTATGGCAGGCGATGGTTTGAAATGCTGGTATGGGTAAAAAATTTGATTTTTTGTACCCATAGTCCCCAATCAAGATTGAAAACGGCTGGACAAAATATTTTTTTTTTTGATAAAAATGAGAAAGTAAAAGAGAGTGTAGAGGACAGCTTCTGTGTATAAATAATACGGAATACCTTAAATCCTATTTAGTGATGTCAGCTGGCTGGTTAAAAAAATATAATTAGGGAATAATAATAATAACAGTGGCAATAATAATATTCTTAGTAAAAGTTGTAGAGTAAACTAGGTAGCAATAACTATTATGGTGAGTACTTTAATGACAACGAAAGTGATTTTTAATGGACAAACTGATAATTTTTTGAATGATCAAAACGACATAGAGGTTTCTAATATGAGTATTATATTATCTAATAGTTTATATAATATTTCGGGCCCGGACACTTCACCGACACACACTTCACCGACACACACTTCACCGACACACACTTCACCGACAAGACACTTTACCGACAAGACACTTTACCGACAATCAAAGTAAAGTCGGACTTGACAAATGGTCTTGCGAGGAACACCACGACTTCCACAGAAACCACAAGATCGTAATCGTGAAATACGGATTCAAACAGCATTAAATGACCGTAACATTAGATTAACTATAGAGTTTCTTCGGGCATTGCCCATAATATTTCATTTTAAAATTTTTTTTTGTTATTTTTTTAAAAAAAATTTTTGTGATAATAAAAAAACATGAATATGCAATTTTATCAATTTCGTTAGACAAAAAAAAATATATTACACATGTATCTATATTGTATTTTTATGAACTGGTTTTTGATGCAAAGTAAGGATAATAAGTTGTGTTACTAGTTAATTAACGGTTGATTTAACTTGTCTGTAAAAAAACCAAACTTTTAGCTAGTTATCCAGGTCTTCACACAGTCCTTGGCAAATTGTTAACACAATGATTGATTGTCGGTAAAGTGTCTTGTCGGTAAAGTGTCCTGTCAGTAAAGTGTCCTGTCGGTAAAGTGTCCTGTCGGTAAAGTGGGTGTCGGTAAAGTGTCCCAGACCCATATATATTATTTACCTAAGATAAAAAATTTAGCAGGCTTAGCAGGCTTAGCTGGCCAAAAGTTTATCAGCTTAGTCAACTAAGTTTTTTTTAACAGCCGATTGTAATAATGAATATTTCAATTATTTAACCAACGTTAATTCAAATAATTTTTGTTTGAAACCTTTAAAACAATAAATACATAAGTGACGAAGCTTATAAATCTACTGACTGATTCGTGAAACGGAGATTTTTTTAGGACAATTATTCTTTTACTAATAAAAATGATGCTACTACCAAGACATAGAAAGACCGAACCAACGTTATTATGGTGGACTAAAGTTGTTGTTTCAATAATCCTTTTAAGTGGGTTAATTGTATATATATATTTTTTAATCGATTTGATTATAAAGGATGAACCTTCAATTCAATATTCTACTGTTAAATTAGACTCACAACAACAACTATTTCCATGTTAGTAAATTATATCTAATTGAAATGTAAATTGCTTGGAAAATTTTTTTTTTTTTTGGCAAAATTATTTATTTTCTTATTATTTAAAAGCATTTAAAATCATTGTAAAATCAAATATAACAATCAATTGTAAACTCCAAACTTGGAATGAGAGTATGTATACTTCTAATAATAGTTTTTTAAATTTTTATTGTTGAATTTGGCATATCATTAATGAAACTGTTTCTTAGAAAATGATTGTTCTGCGAATTTTGAATTCTTTGACTATAAACACAATGAATATTACAAATTTACTCCTACTGAAGATATGATTGATGATGGTCCTGACAAGTATTATCGTTATTTGTTCCTTTATTGGGATAATACTTCTAACCTTACTTTAATTGAATTTGGTGGAGGTAACTATAAAGCTTTTAAAATCACATACTTTAATTTAATGATTAATTGTTATTATATTCTGTTAAACAAAATAGAATTAGATGATATCAGAAATAATTATCCAGATCAAATTAATCTCCAAAATTACATAGGTTATCTCAATAGTAATTATATGCCTATTCAAGAAAACGTGGTATATATTTGATATTAATATTTTGATATTTTGTAATTAAAGTCATTAATATGATCAACTTATAATTTAAAATTAGTTAAATGGTTTTGATATTAAATGGACTAGAAGGAATTACTTGATTCGTGATTGGACAAATTATTTAGGTTTTCCTAATCATTATGTTTCACTTCGTATTGCAGAACCAATATTATCAAGTAACTACAAATTTCGATTATATGCTTTATTTAAAGTTTTGAAGTTTATAGTGATTTAACCTTTTCTAATTTCAAAAGCATATACAACAAGTTATAAAAATCAGACTACAATAGCTATTTCACCACATGGTTATGTAGATGAATATTTTGAAACTGTTGAAACGGAAAAAAGGTGATTGCATAAATTTTTGAATATTTTTGTTTCATACTTTTCTAATGATTTTTTATCATTACTAGATTTGAAACTGTAAGTGTTGTGTGATATTTTTTTTTTAAATATCAGGCTTAAAATATAAACACAATTTTGTTTTCTCAGGTCTTGAGCAATATTGGTTCACTTGGAGGTGCAATTAGTTTGCTATTAGGAGTTTATGCTATTTTATTTGGTAAGTTTATTAATTTCTTTTTTAAATGAAATAATCATAAACTATAAACTATAAATAACAAATAAATTTTAAATAAATAGGTGGATCACTCCTGAGCCCATGGGGAATCTTTCAAAACTATTGCTGCAAGTATAAACCAAGATCAAAAAGAAAGCTTTTAAATAATTTACCAGTGATTCCTTTGACTGAAAAAAACCCATTACAATATGAAAATTCTGAAGATCCAAATATTATCTCTATTATCACAAGATTTAATTCTTTGGAAACCATTTTAAGAGAGTATGTTATAAACTCGGATTTCCTTGATGAATTGGTGGAGACTAAAAATAATAAGATTGTTATTGATGAGAGTAATAAACCTCTTGTATAAATACATATTAATTTATTATTAATTTAAATCTCAGAGATTAGCAAAGCAGTTATGTTCAGTGTCAACAATGACAGTTATATTTAACTCTTGAACTATTTGATAAATGTTAATATAATTTTTTTAAATAAAAATAAAGGAGTTTGTTTCATGTATATATTAAAATTATCAAGATTAATTATATCCTTTGCCTAAAAAAATTAAATATTGTTCTTTTATACAAGTTTTACAAACACGTGGAATTTAACCAAGGTGCTTTTTTCCTGTTTATTTACTACCAACATTTGATACATGGATCAATTGATTATTTTCATTTATATTTATTTCTCGTTAAATGCAAAATCCGACCTAAATAAATTCGCGTTTATGACTGTTATTTTAATAGTAGATTTAAATTAGGCCATTTCACAGGCAATTGCAAGACATAAAAACATACCAATAGGAAGCTCGGGCTCTATTTAATATACTATCAAAGTAATTTGAAATTAATTAATTCAGAGTTAGAAGAGAGGCGTTTCAAGCATTTGGAAAGAGTACAGTGAAGCAATGTGAGAAGCTACATTTATATGCTTTGGAAAAGTATAAAGGTTCCAAATTATTAAAATGATTATTAGATTTAAATAATAAAATACTTATTGCCATTTATCCCAGCATGAGCAGATTTATTTTAAAAAAATTTTAAAACTCATGTACAAAAAATACTGGTATTTCGTAACTATGTCAAAGAAACTCTTATACTCATTAATATTCACTACAACAAAGTCATTTAATGTTGTTTCTTTTCTTAGATAGTATAACTCTGATAATTCTGCTGTTATTCAACGATGACAAATTGTCAAATATGATAAAAGAGTCTATTAATTTATATCATATATCAAATATTAATATTAAACTTAAAGTTTTTGTCACAGATCGATTGTTTTATTCAATGAGAAAAGTAAAGAAAGTGTAGAGGAACGATTGTGGCAGAGATTGTAACATGTGTATAGAGAAACACGGGATTTGATTTTCACATTGTAAATTCCATGCAATCAATCTTACCATCACAAACTAGTAAAACTAGTTGTCTAAAAAAACATAATACTCATAATGGAATAGGAGACAATAATAATGATGGTAATGATATTATTAATAGTAGAAGTGGTATTAGAGATGAACACCATCAGTAAATTATAATAACTTTAGTGGTAATAATGATAATAATAGTGAATTAAGTAGCAATAATTATGATGAGTCTTTTAATGACAATGTAAGTGATTTTTAATGGACAAATACTGATGATTTTTTGAATGATCAAAAAACGACATAGAGGTTTCTAATATGACTACTATCCCATCTAATAGTTTGGATAATATTATTTTGGAGATTCCTGTGCAAGCAAGCATTTACTTAGCAATACCGGTAAGTTCAGTACCATCTGAGAGGTTGTTTCATTAGCTGAAAATACATTTACAAAGAAAATGAATGGACTTAGTAAAATAGTATCCATGATATTAAATAATTCTTATTTAGATTTTTGATAAATAATTGATTTTGATAATTTCATATACAGTCCCCCAAAAAAGTAATGGCGGGGTGCCTCTATCGAAAAATTCTCAATGAGAATTTGTATGACAATGCAAATAGCATTTACGGGGATCAACGCTGGGTTTTCCAGCAAGATAACGATCCCAAACATAC